AATGTAAGGGACTACTGTCTCACAGCCTCAGAGGATGGCAATGACAAACTGCCCTCTGAAGAAACTTGCCAAGAAAACCCTATGACAGGTTTGCCATAAGTAAAAAAAATGACTTGAAGGAACATAAAACAACAAAGGGGTCTCTTTGCAGGCATCTGGCTTAGAAGTCCAGGAAGAAGTTACTTATTTAGTTATGTTTGTTTGTTTGTTTGTTTGTTTGTTTGTTGGAGAGGTTGCGGTGCAGATGTCCTCATTACTGGTGCTGCTGGTGCAGCTGCTGTGGGAGGGATAACTACCAGAAGACAATGGGGAAAGAGCTCATTTAGCCAGCTGAGCAGGGGAACTGATGACACTTTCTGGCTCTCCATTCCTTACACACACACACATCACTCTGCTTTGCTGTGTATCAGCCACACCTCCCTTGCTCATCCACAAAATGAATTGTGCAAATAGTTTGCTTCTTTTTCCCTGGGTGGCTTCTATGGTTCATCAAATCCATAAGGAATTTTGATGTGTCGTTGTCGGCGTGTATGTTTAAGTCATGTCCAACGTATGGCAACTCTGAGGCGAACCTAGCATGGGGCTGAGAGAGTGTGACATGCCCAAGGTCACCCAGTGGGTTTCTTGGCTAAGCAGAGAATCAAACCCTGGTCTCCAGAGCTGCAGTCCAACACTCAAACCACTACCCCACGCTGGCGCTCAAGGAATTTTGGTAAGCTACACTTCCCAAAATTTAACATTTAAATTTAATTTTTAATTTAAATGTAATTAAAAAAAACCTCTCTTTCTACCCATTGTAACTGATTGATAAAAGCCAAGGGAAACTGCTGAGCCTTTTAATTTTAATTTATTTTTTAAAAAACAAACAAACAAAAACAAACAAACCAGCAACTCTCTTTCTACCCATTGTAACCGAGTGACAAAAGCCAGGTGAAACTGGTGTAACCTAAGAGCAAAATAAAATCAATTTCACATTTTTAAGTAAAATTTTTCACATTTTTGAGTAAAATTGTCAAGTAGTTGCTCTGAAGCATTCCACAATGTAACAGATATAAGGGGCCTTTATAATGGAACGGTTTTTGCTCCTGTTCATGGTGATTTGCTGTCAAGATGACTTAAGATGACCCTCTGAATGAGAGAGATCTTCAAGGGCCCAGCTCAACTGCAAGTCCTGCAAACCCAAGTTTCTTTTATTGAATCAGTCCCTTTGCAATTTCATTTTCCTTTTTCCTCCTACCACTTTGCCAAACATTGTT